TTCTTTTAATGTGTATTTCTCTGATGATTAGTGATGTTGAGCATCTTTCCATATGTCATATGTATTTCCTCTTTGGAGAAATGTCTGTTGAGATCCTCTGCCCGTTTTTTAATTGGATTGTTTGTCTTTTGGGTGTTGTATGAATTTTTATATATTTTGGATATTAACCCCTTATCTGATGTATCATTGGCAAATACATTTTTCCATTCAGAAGGTCGTCTTTTCATTTTGTTGATAGTTTCTTTTGCTGTTCAAAACCTTTTTAGTTTGATGTAGTCCCATCTCTTTATTTTTTCTTTTGTTTCCTTTGCCTGGGGAGACATATCCAACAAAATTATTTCTAAGAGAAATGTCAAAGATTTATTGCTTATGTTTTCTTCTAGGAGTTTTATGATTTCAAGTTTTATATTTAAGTCTTCAATCCATTTGAGTTTATTTTTGTATGTTGTATGAAAAAGTTGTCATTTCATTTTTTCATGCATCTGTTCAGTTTTCCCAATATCATTTATTGAAGAGACTATATTTTTTGTATATTTTTTCCTACTTTGTCATTAGTTGATCATATAGGCATGGATTTATTTTTGGGTTCTCTATTCTGTTCCATTGATCTATGTGTATGTTTTTATGCCAGTACCATGATGTTTTGATTACCATGGCCTTGTAGTATAGTTTGATATCAGGTAGCATGATACTTCCACGTCTGTTCTTCTTTCTCAAGATTGCTGTAGCTCTTTGGGGTCTTTTTAATTCCATATAAATTTTAGGATTATTTTGTCCTAATTGGTATTGGTATTTTGATAGCGGTTGCATTGAATTTGTAGATTGCTTTGGGTAGTATGGACATTTCAATGATGCTACTTCTTTTTATCTTTGAGGATGGTATAGCCTTCTGTTTATTTGTATCTTCTTCAGTTTCTTTCTTTATTGTCTTATAGTTTTTGAGTACAGGTCTTTTACCTCCTTGGTTAAATTTATCGCTAGGTATTTTATTGTCTTGGATTGGCTTTTATCGCTTGCATAATTCCTGGGAGACTTCACAGGTGGTTGTGTATGTCAGGTTTGCTCTTTTCATTGTTGAGTAGTGTGGAATGATATACCACAGTTACCTGATTTAACCACAACCTGTTGGAGAACAGCTAACCTGTTTCAGTTTTTGGCTGTTCTGAATAAAACTGCTGTATACAGGTTTTTCCATTTTTCTGGGACAAATACCCAAGGGTATAATTGGTGGGTTCTGTGATAAGTACATGTTTAGTTTTATAAGAAACTGGCATATGGTTTTATATTCCAAGCAGGAATGTGTAAATGATCTAGTTTCTCTGCAACTTCACCAACATTTGAAGGTATCATTATTTATTTTAGTCATTCTGATAGATATGGAGTGCTATCTCATTGTAGTTTTAATTTTCATTTCCCTGATGGCTCATGATGTTGAACATCTTTTTCTTATGCTTATTTGTCATTTGTATATCATCTTTGGTGATCTTTTGCATTTTTACTCCTTCATTTGCTGTTTTTGTTTTTTCAGGCTTGGGATGGAGGTGAAGTTGCTGGTAAATTATCTATGAAGTTTGTTATAGTATACTTAGGTGGGAGGAAAACAGATCTGCTACTGATATAGATAATATTGCTTACTACAGTTCTCAGCTCTGTGTTAGAGTCACTGGAAATACAAAGATGAATAATACAAGAATATTAGTCTTGAAGTTCTAAATCTATCTGGCACTTTTAGAAAGGGAAACAGAAAATATGTAGAAGTCTGTAATTTCTAAATTGCTTGACTTCAAGGGATAATATTTGCATGAGTATCTTAAAGGTGAACACAAATGATGGAAAGAGCCCGCAGGCCAAGGATTCAAATTCATTTAATATGAGTTAAGTATGCAAAAATGTCTTTGCACATAGATGGTTTCCTAGAGCAGGGAACTGACAACACTCCCAATAGAGGAGTAACACTCCAGCCTTCAAATCTCAGAAAAGCACGCAGCTGCCGGTGAGAACGGTGACTGGAGTGAGAGCTAACAGGTTCCTCAAGAAGTTTCTTCTGTCACTTCTCCCTTGGGCCTCCTAACTCTTCCAGAGAATTTAGATCTATGTCTAATTGATCACCAGTTCCAAGTACCTGGTGTCAACCCCAGCACATGCCTGAGTACTTAATTTGAGTTTGGACAAAGAACGTTCTTTCCAGGAATTTTATCCTCCCTGGCAGGACTGAATCTCAAGCAGTCTATTTTTGTAGTTTTCTGCAGCAATTAAGGACTCCAGTATTTACTTAAGAATTGGACAATGATCGTCTAAGAAGAGAAATAGCTCAATAGAAAAGTATAAGGAATAAACACACACACACACACACACACACACACACACACACACAAATCTAATTTTTGGCAAAGGTGCATTAAAAATCAATGGGAAAGATGGACTATTAGAAATCATCTGGGAAAAATTCCTACCTGACACCATAACAAAACCAAAATTTAGATGGATTAATGATCTAAATGTAAATTTAAAAACATGTGCATGTGTGTATGTGTGTAGAATAAAGGAGTTTAATATTTTTATAAATTTTAAGGATGAGGTGGGAAGTAGCCAGAGGCCTTTTAATGAAGACAGGTACAGAGTAACTACATAAAAGTAAAATAAATGTTTATGATAAAATGTACAAGAAACAAAGTTTAAAAAAAATGAGTGAAAATATTTTATATACATACACACATATATATATGTCATATAATCTTGCACACCTCTGTTTTTCTATGAAGATGGGTATATACTATTAGGTAGATAGATATCCAATAATAAATTATCATTTTTGATATACAAAGAATTTATATAATTTAATAGGAAAAATAAAAATTAAATATCAGAAAAATAAGCAAAGGATAAGAACATGAAAATCACAAAAGGATACAAATTACCAATAAACAGATGAATAGATGTTCACATTCACTAGTAATCAACAAACTAGAAATTAAAGCAATGACATTTAAAAACTCATCGAATAGACAAAAATTTAAAACACAAATAACTCAGTATTTATGGGCTATGGGAAAGAACATTCTCATACATTTCTGCTGGGAATTTGTTTTGCTGAGGACAGATTGACACTATCAAAATTTAAAGTACACACACCCTTTGCACAGTAATGCCTCCTTCAGGAATCTGCACCATAGAAAACAGAGGTGCGATAGAGGATATATGGGCTAAGAAATTCATCGCAGCATTAATTGAGTAGCAGGAAGTTATAATCAACCTAAAATATCTAGCAATGTGGAAATGTTAAAAACAAAACTATGACATAGTCACACAGTGCAATAAAATAAAACCATTAAAAGAAGAAGCAAAATCTATAGCACTGATGTGGCGCACATGGCAGGATGTCCACGAGTGCAAAATCAAATCAAGAACATATGTATACACAGCATGATTTAACTGGTGGTTAGGTGGCTGGATGGGTGATGTGTGTATGTGTGTGCATTTATTCATACACCAAGAAATTTTTTTAAGTGGATAAATACACAAATGACCTGCTAAGAATGGTTACAAATCTGAAGTATAGAAGTGCTAGGTTGAGAGAAATTTTATTTTTCATTTTATGTATTTATGCAGTACTTGCAATTATTCTGTATCACAAAGGTGTAATGTTTTATAATGTTGAGAAAGAAAAGAAATGATAAATGCTAAACAACCCAATCATTGACCAAAAAGAAAGAATTTGGTTAAAAGAATTGCTTTAAAAGAAGGTATAGATACCTTTGCCTAATGCAAATTTAAATAAACAAACAGAAAAACCTCTTTCTTGCTGCTGTATTAATTTTCTGTATTTGGATATTTATCTCAGTGATTTCTCTCTGGCTATTTAATTCATTGTGTTTAACTGATAGGGTCTATGGGAGTTTAGTGAAAAACTATTTTGTAACTATCTCCCTCCAGTTGTGATTTATCTCCCCCAATGAACTGCTGGTGAGTGGGGAATTAGTAAAGCAGATACAGATCTGGAGAGTAGTGTGTGGCTTTACTTATCTCCGCAGGATCCTTATTTCATATTGATAAAGCTTGAAATCCTTCCTGTAGCTCTTTCTGATTGTTCATTGTCGCAGTTACTGTTGTAATGAGAGGTACAAAGAGCCAAACCAACCTGCTTCTTTCCTTCTACTAAATTAATTTCAAAGGAAATTCTTCAATCCAAGTAAATAATGAATGTGGGTGGAATCAGATTCTGACTCAACATGTCCATTTAATTGCTTCTAAACGTTTAGATACATTCTTAAGAAACCTTCACACATCATTAAAAATTCAACCAGTAAAGAATGATGGGGTGAGACATGAACTGGCTCTAGCCATCTTTGCTCACAAAACCCCATTTTAAGTTGGCATTAATATTTGCCTTCTCCTCTATTATTATAAATCAAGATTTATTGTAGAAATATACCAAAGACAGCACAATAATAAAACAAATTCAGCACAGGTTTTGAAATGTACCTAACAAAATCAACCTCTTGCAAAATAACTTTCTTATTCAAAATGGAACTGGGAATTGTTCAGCACACAATGAATCATCTTTTGGCAAGTACAATAGAATCTTTAGGGACATTTCACAGCCTCTTGTTCAATTGTTAGGATGTTTTTAGCTTTCACAGGTAGGGAAGAAGGTTGCTTGTATAGCCATCATCTTGTTGCTAAAATTGAACAGTAAAGATTTTTCAGAGTTGCTGTTGTAATAGATCTTTTTGCTTCCCCCCCCCTTCCTGTTTCTATGCCCAGAGCTGCTTTGTCTCTCAAAAGCAATCTGGAATTACTTAATGCTAATGTTTTCTGGTTTTACTATTTACCCAGGACTCAAATGATAAACATTAATGTGGGAAACTCCCTTTTTCTTACCCCATGGTTCTATATTTATTTAACTGTTATTCTGCAAGAAGAAAACTGCATCTTTCTCCAGGTTAATGGACTCCTTTTTTATTGACAAACATTGTGTTTTTGCTTTTGATTTTTTTCAGGAGGCTTTAGAGTTACCCCTGGATGATTCTGAAGTGACTGAGGCCACAGCAGCCACCGAAGTGATTAAATATGAGTATCACGTCTTGTATTCCTGTAGCTACCAAGTGCCTGTGCTTTACTTTAGGGCAAGCTTTTTAGGTAAGACCATGTTGGAAGCTAAATGTAAATTCATAACATTTACATATTAAGGCAGAAAGCAGACTTGGAAAATTATTCTTGAGAGGAAAAAAATAGAGTTAAAAATAAGAAAACTGTGGGTGAGGTAAGGTTTTACCAGTAAATTTTCTCATGTTTTAGAAAGAGTATCAGGACTTCAGAGTGAATGATATCATCCCAGCCATAAGTCTGATCTTCAGATTCTTGGCCTCCTGCCCAACGTTGACTAAGCCCCCTGGCCCTTTTTGCTTTACTTTAAACAAGTAGGAACAACTTAAAGCTACAATGTTTATTTATTTCTAACTTTACAGTAAAAATTTCTTTCAATCCTAAGCGATCCCATTAACACAAAGCCCCCATGCCTTTCCCCCAAATGCTAATAATTGCTTCAAGAACTATTTATCAATGAGTTTAAGCTATACTTAAATACAGCACTGATATTTCCTTTGGCCATCTATACATCTCCAGTGCCTTCACTTCCTGCAATGCTGTTACTCAACTCATTCTCCTTGCCAAGAAGGTGGAACACTCTGTCTCCTCTGAGGCCTTTGCTAATAAAGCTTATTTGATCAGCAACCACAGAGTCCCCACTCTGCAGCGCAGCCGTGACTTTCCCCTTCATGTCCTCCAGCTAAACCGGGTCAGCGTTTCCAGGCCCTGCCAGCCCTGGGCTCGGGGACAAAAGGAGTCACCTCCCCAGTCCACCCCCTACTCTATTTCTCCTTCTCTATCTGGGCTCATCATCAGCCTTTTGCATTTTGAACAGACTTCTAACTTTTTCTGGATAGCTAAGACATCTGAATTTAGCCAGTGATATTTTATTTTTAATTAAAAAGTAGCTTAAGCTGCTTTGAATGTGTATTTGGTAGATTTAATCGCTTGCTGCCTTATATTGTTTAATGGTCTCTAATTTTGCGGTGTTGGCGGTTTAACAAAGCACTTAGGATTTAAAACACAAGAACAAATTCTCATAGGCTCCCTGGTGAGAAGACTTTAATCTGAGGTGCAGTTCCTAAGAACTGACAATTTGGGGTAAATCTTCAGCATGGGACATGGGGAATTGAGGACAGCAAGAGTTCACTACTTCACAAACTCTTGCTGCGGATTTATCCATATGATTATGACAGGACTTTAAAACACTCACTTCTTTTTGTAATTCGATTTGGTTTGGAGCCCAGAGGTTAGAGGAGGTTTCTTGTTAGTGAGCTGTGCTCTACTAAAAAGTAGGAGGAGATCCATTTGTTTACCAGGGGGAGGAACATGTCTTTCTTGGTTTGGGTTTGCAGTGGCTCTTACCTAGGAGCTTCCAGATTCAAAGATATGTCGAGGCTGTAGGTAGAGGAAATAGGACACTACTTCTTCAATACTGTACTTTCATATAATTAGTATTCACCATAAGCAGTTAATCACCAGAGAAGAGCTCCCAGAGACAAAACAAGTTGTTTAGCTTGTCAGCATTAGGGAATTGGAGGTGTTGAAACATGACTGCTTCTCGCTGGAAGTGGGTCTTGCCGAGGCTGCTGGATGAGCTCATACGTGTGCTTTGCTCTTATGTGCCAACAGCTCCCCTTACAGCATAGCACGGTAATTGTTCCTGCAAGTCCAATTACATTTTAATGAAATTTGTGTACTTCCTAAGATCTTTTCTGCATGTTGCTTTTCCATTTCTTAAAAAAAAAAACCACACAAAAACTCTAGCATTCTTGGATTCTATTTATATTCTTTTAAGATTTCCTTTATTATGCTTAATAAAGAAAAACCAAAACAAGTCATTGGTTTTCTGCAGAAACACTCCTTGTTCTTCCCCCTCCCCATTCTGTGCTATATAGAATGAGTATTAGAAATGCTTTAATTTCAGAATTCATTTAGTGCTTGTTCAGACACATTAAAATATCAAATTTAATCTTTGGAGGGCATACTGAATGTTTTCTTGTGGAGAAACATGAAAAACGGTTCTTTCGTTTATCATAGTCTAATGATTTTTCTCTTTTCCACCTAACTTAACTTAATGGGTGTTCTAAAAATGTATCACCCTTTACTCTGGAGTCATAATTTTTCATTTATTCCCCTCAATCTATTCCCTTTTCCTGTGATATCTGATTTCTCTGGCTTTTCATCTGTTTGTTAAACAAATCTCTGTCAGTGTGGTGACTAGATTCCTAGCATCTTCCCCTTATTCCAGGTCCAGATTTTTCTTTGTCTCATTCTAAAAGAGTTCGACCTAGAAAGGAGGATGACTATAAAATTTCTCGCCCAGGGGTCTTTTTTTTGTTGCTTCAAAAATAGTTCAGTTAGCCTTGTTTTTGGCAGATATTTAGAATTTCTTTTGCATTTGATTGCTATTAAAAATTAGTTTCTCTAGCTTGCTCTGAATTTTCTTCTAATACTGCTCTTTTTTTTTAGGAAAAGCAAATAATAAGTATTTCCATTTCAACTGATAGTACCTTTTTAAAAATCAACTGGCTTAGATTCCAGAAGAAATCTTTATTTTGTTTCTTGAGATGCAAAGCCATTGGACTGTAATTATCTCTTATTTCTTTATATTGTTGTGTCCACTAGGCCAACTATTGCCTAAGACTCAGCTAACATGCCACTTGCTCTTGTCACTCCATGACATATTGTATCAAATCACACATAACATATCACATTGCATCATATCATATATCATGTTACAAGTTGCACCACAACAGACTTATTTGTTTACTTGTTCCCTGTTCCCTATAAAATGGTAAGCTAGAAGTTAAAGTTTTCAGTTAAAAAGAGAGAAGAAGAAAATTAATATTGGGTACTTACAAAACGAGTAAGACATTTTGATACCCACAATATCAACTGTGGTTCAGCATCAGCAGATGTTTATTGAATGAACCAATGAGGAATTTCTAATCATTTGTGATGGTGCCCTATTTGAACTTCTATGATGGGTTTATATGGGAGGAATTAATGCTGTTGTCTCCAGGAGACTCAGGACCCAAACCACCTATATATTGTTACTCTTTAGTCTGATATTTCTCAGAGATTATAGGATTAGTTGACTAAGGAGAATGGAAAGTCCTGAAGACTCAAAGGTGGGCCTCCAAACCAACAGAGCAGCTGCCTTGCTTATACTGACACTTTTCTACTTGATCTTTTATGCAGACAGCTATGCTGAGACAGATTCTGCTTCTGGGTGCCTCTCATTTCTACTACGTGAGTTTACAGGAGCTCAGTTTTGTAGGGGGTAACATGCATTTACAAGAACACATATGTTCTTTCCATTGTTCCTTTCCCCCTGCTTACTCTTGTCATTATGGGTTTGGGAGAGGTAGTGGGACATATTAACACCATTTATTATCCAGCAGTGGGTGAGAGGCATTTGCACTTCTGTCAAGTAGTAATAACGAGCCTATATTTGAATAGTGCTTTGTAGTTTCTGAAGTCCGTTCTCACAAAGCACTGATGTCAGTGCCCACTGGTTGTTGTTTTTTCTTTCCTATTTTCTAAGTACACACAGTATTTTAAATTATTTGTATCATGCCAAAGGCTTCTATCTACTCCCCATTATTCCATCACCTTTTAAAGTCTCATCTTCCCTTTTAGGGACATGGCTTTGGTCAAAAGCTGATGGAAAACAGAAACGTGGTAAAAACCTTACATATACCTACTGGCTTTGACCTCACTACAGTTTTAAGCTCATATGTTTTCCCCATTTCACTGACATAGCTAGAGATTTCTATATTTCAGCTTGAATTCTGATTTATTTCTTCTTTGTTCCTCCTTTTTTCCTTTGTTCTCAATCTCTATTGAAAAATAGACCAAGTGGTTCTTCTCATTTTCAAAATAGTTAACTCTTGGGCTGACATATGGGTTCTTCTTGGGAACCATTTTTGACGTATTTCTTTAATTAGTCAGATGGGCTGCTTTTGAATAAGGAAGGAAACATTTCTCCCATTCAACAACTGAATGTCTGTTCTTTCTGTAGATCCATTCTATTATTGGCCCAGGGAGTAAGGGTATAGAATTAAAAATGTAACCCAGACATTTTATGTGGAAGATCTGTCCACTTGTTATATGCCTGAAGGATGCTCATGGAGAAATAGGGCAAAAGAAATAGCGAAAGAATAATTTCTTCTCAAAGGCAGCATGAACCAAACTAAGATAAAGGCCAGCACAAAGGACAAATAATGGAAAGTTTAGGATGAGAACAGTGCATGACTCATCAAGGAGGAGGAGGCAGAGACTTGTCCATGCTTTGGAACAAGAGGAGGCCTTTGGAATGCAAAGAAGAGAATGATAGGGACACAGGAATAATGGGGGTTGGAGGAAGTTAGAGAATAAAAATAAAATCCATACCTCTGTCCAACGACCTGCAAGGGAAGGTAGCAGGTTGGCTTTTCTGAAGAAACTGGGAAAAGAAGCTGGAAAAGGGGAGAAGGGCAAGTGCCCAACTGTAGGCTGGAGGGAACGTGGCATATTTGGGGGAGAGGGAGAGGCCAGATTGCAGTAGGGTTTTCTTAAGATGAATTGTGGAAGATATGGTTGAAAGGTATTTGAGATCAAATTATGGATGAGATCATGATGGGAAGGGATTGGATTGAAAGAGAATGAGCGGAAGTGAATGGGACCAGAGGAGGGATTTCCTACAACAGAAAATATGACTGAGTAAAACAGAGGAATAAATGAAGATGAAAATAAATCATGGAGAATGAAATTTTAGTAAAAGGAGTTTGGCTCTTTCTGTATTGTTAGCATTGTATTAAAATTTTTAAAATAAGAACCTCTTAGAGAAAATGAGATAGAAAGAACATATTTTCAGGGAAAAATTATTATTGCCAACAGAGTGAGAGTGAAAGCAGCTTGTTGAACAAAGTAAAAAAAAAGTGGATTAGAGAGGTACTTAAAGATTGAGGCAAAAATGATTCTAGTTAATTATTACAATGAGCAGAAAATAGAAAATAGTTTGACAAATGATTTAATTTAGAGTCTTATGTGATTGTAGAGATTGC